ATTCAGTTAAATTTTTTTAAAAAACCTAATAAGTAGCAAGGTACTATATCATTCTCCATATGTACCTGGCAAATGACCATCTCACTGGTCTTTGAACATTTACTGGAACAAGATGACTGTTCCCAAAAGCAACTGAGCTGTTATCGCCATATCACATCTCATCATCTCTCAACATCTCATAGTATGTAACCCCCAGTGTCTCTCCAGGAACTGACATTGACTCTATTTATTACTGCATCAGTCCCTAACCACAACGTGAGTTCTGTACTGATCTGGGCTCTCTCTGCTTTAAGGCTCATCTTCTGTACAGATTAATAGAAATCCAGAAATACTGACTCTATCTATAGGTAAGATGCATCAAAGCTCACTGTAACTATGATATTCCACAGTGAAATTGGGGATCTGTTTTTTGGCTGTCCAAGCCATATTGGTCTTATCCAAGTTACCTAGACTTCATCTTCAGTTATTCTTTACTGATAAAATCACTAAATATCAAAATAAAAGTGAATGATATTGTTCAATTAGTTAAGTCCATGTTCTAGACACATAGATTTATTTAGATTTTTCTAAGTGGACATCCAAACATTTGAATAAATTCATGATAGGGATACCAACAAAATAGCCAATTTCATTTTTTTTCTTTTTCTTTCCTTTCTTTTAAATCAGCGTCTTTAGTTCTTGTTTTTTTTTTTCTTTTTTGAGCATAATAGTTATACAGATAGTAGGTTTTATTGTGGCATATTTGACCATGTACATAACATCTTTGATCAGTTTAATTTCCCCAGTAACTCTACTTTTATATTTTTCCCTCCACTGATCATCTTACTATACCTTTCTGATCTCCTGGTTTATTTGACTTAACATGATGCTCTCCAGTTTCATATATTTTCCTGAAAATGACATAATTTTGTTCTTCTTTATGTCTGAATCAAACTCCAGTCATGAAGCCTGTTTCCATAGTTTAGTTATTATGAATTCTCCTGCTATAAATATAGGGTTGTACGTATCTCTATAGTATTCTGAGTTTAACTCTTTAAGGTAAATACCTAGGAGTGGTATAAATCGATCACACGGTGGTTCCATTCCTCATTTTTTGAAGAAACCCCATGCTGATTTTCATATTGGCTATACCAATTTATATCCCCCACCAACAACATAGGAAAATTCCTTTCTCCCCATTTCCTCATCAGCATTTACTATTATTTGTATTCTTGATGATTTCCATTCTAACTGGAGTTAGATATAATCTCAGTATAATTTTGATTTGCATCTCTCTCTTACCCTGCACAAATCAAAACACAAAATAGATTTTAAAAAAATTCAGGAATAAGATAAAAAAAAAAACATTGCAATTGCTAGAAGAGAACATAGAGGAAACACTCCAACATGTAAGGACAGGCGATTACTTCTTCAGCTCCAGTTCTATAGCTCCAGTAATAATACCAAGAATTAGTAAATGTTGCAGCATCAAACTAAATGCCTCTTGCATGGCAAAGAAAACAGCATGAAAAGAGAATCTATGGAATGGGAGAAAAATTTGCCAACTATTCGTTTGACGAAGAATTAACTCAAAAACTCAACACCAAATTTTTAAAAACAATCATTCAATAAATGATTTAATGAGCTAAATCGACAATTCTTAAAAGAATAAGTACAAATGGCCAACGATTACATGAAAAAAAATGTTCAACATCTCTAGCCATCAAAGAAATGCCTCTTCCATTTTCATACTCCTCTAACCAGTAGAAAAAAATCTTACCTTATGAATTGTTTATCTTTAAATTGTTCCCTTTGGGTCAAGTTCTCCTCAGTAAAAACACAAAGTACAATGAACCTAATTGTCTATCACCAGAAGAAAAGTTTCTGAAAAAATGTGAAAGATCATGAATGGAAAGAAAGCTTGGTGATAGTTCAGAAAGAAACTCATGTAATATGAAAATAGCATGACGGTGTTGAAAGTGGCACCACCAGTCCATGACAAAGGCTAGGCCATTTAGTAGGTGGTGTTGGCGAAACCTGACCAATATGGTGAAAAATGAAACTGGAGCACAACACATTGACCTATACTCTAGGTGGCTCAATGGCCTAAACATGAAATATAACACTTTAAAATTAAAAATGAAAATATAGAATTTCTTTGTCATAAAGCTAGGATAGATCTTTCTTTAAAAATTACAAAATCACTGCTGGGGTTGCAGTTCAGTGGTAGAGCACTCACCCAACATGTGTGAGGAACTGGGTTCAATCCTCAGCACCACATAAAAATAAATAAATAGCTGGGTGCAGTGGTGCATGCCTATAATCCCAGTGACTCAGGAGCCTGAGGCAGGAGGATCACGAATTCAAAGCACCCTCAGCAAAAGCAAGGCACTAAGCAACTTAGTGAGACCCTGTCTCTAAATCAAATACAAAATAAGGCTGGGGATTGGCTTAGTGGTCAAGTGCCTCTGAGTTGAATCCCAGGCACCCCCCCCAAAAAAAAATAAATAAAATAAGGGTACTGTGTCTATTCACAACTAAAAATATTTTAAAAAATTACAAGATCTCGAATCATACATTTAGCATTTTTTTCAATTATATACACTATGCGGTAGGCATAGATAAACAAATAATAGTTTGCAAGATGAAACTCACAATGTCCAAAAATACAAGGGAATTTATCAAGAATATAAAATGAACTGCTTTGAATCAATAAGATAAAGAGAGAAACCTCAAAATATTAAGTAGAAGATATTGAAGAGAGAATCTAGAAAATAGGTGTGAACACTAGTAAAGAAACAAAATATATTCAAAATCATTACTAATCAAAGAAATACAAATTAAAACAACACAATATATCTTTTACTTCCCAAATAAGCCATATTAGAAAGATAGTACCAAGTTTTTGCAGAGTTGTACAGTCGTAGGGTTTGAACTCATGTGGATATCCTGGGACTAACAATCCAATAATTAATAAAGTTGAAAATACACTCTCTTTTTGTGCCAGAAATCCAGATCTTGGGTTCTTACTGAGTACCATAGAAAAAGTGCTCAGGGCAACATCGCTGTGTTGAAGAAGATCTGGGGATAGACATGGGTTTATCACCTTCATGATGAAAGGGCAGACTTTTGGGTACATGCTGCATCAAGTCTTGGGCAGCAATTTATAAACAATGATCTGAATGTAAGCACAGTATCACAGAGGAACGCCTCCACATAAATCATGCTGAATGAAAAAGATTTTAAGAAGATAAAAAATAAAATAATATCAGTTATATATATTTAAAATATATAATACAATAACCAACTCTTTTGAATTTTGTTGGCTGAAATAGGATGTGTGCGTATAAAATAACACAAATTACAACATGACTGCAAAGAAGAGGTGGAAATGAAAATGGAAGTAAAAGAGAAATGTAAGAGAATAATTAAACTAATATGCTTTACAAATCTTTTTTAAAAAAGCAGAAAAGAGCCTATACCCACAATTAATAAACAAATATAAATAGGGAATACGTTAGGCCCAACACTCAAAGAAAACTGTACAGACATCATTTGTGTACCTGCACAAAAAATTACCATTTGACATAGTCTATTTTCTTAAGTTTTTTCTTTTCCTGGCTTTGTCCCTTCCCCATAAGATCCAAAATCTATAGAGTTTTGGCGCACACTGTTGGTTAACTTGCAAGATTCCAGTCCACAAATCTTTTGTATCTACCTTCAGCTAAGTGTCCACATATTACACTGATAGCCAGAGAGTCAAACAAACAAACCAAAAGACAAATATCCTTAAAAATGCCTGAAGTTCTTGTTCACTTACCTCTTTTTTGTTGTTGTTGTTGTTGTTTTGTGGGTTGTTGTTTTTTTTTGGTGAGTGGGGGCTTGGAACCTAAGCATGGTGTCAGCCATTCTCAGCAAATCACGTTGAAATCATGATCATGAAAGTCAAAAAAGCAGGGTAAGCTTTATCTACTTACACCATAGTATGGTTTGAATGCTCCCTCTAAAACCCATAATGAAATTCAATTGACATTATAGCAATATTAAGAGGTGGGACCTTTATAAGATGATTAGGTCATAGACACTCTGTCCTCAGGGAGGGATTAATGCCATTATTATAGCAATGTGTTAGTTATCATGGGAATGGGTTCTTGATAGCAAGGCATATTCAGTGAGTTTTTTCTGTTTCCCAAGTGCTCACTTGTCCTTCCACCATATTATAACACACACCTTCCCTACTTTCTCAGCCTCCAAACCATCAGTCAAATAAATTTCTTAGTCTGTGGTATTTTACTACAATAACGGAAAATGGACCAAGGCACTAAAAGATTTTCATTTCACTTATGTCAAAAACTGTTAGATTTGGTTTTATTTCATGTTTATTAAAACACAAGTTCAGTATCAAATCCATCACATCTGTACTAGAGCATTAACCTTATGACTAAATTCCTTGTCACACAGTTCTTCTTATTGTAATCCTTTATCCACCCAAGATATGAAATTCTGGGTATGATACATATGGTTATATTTAGGTATAAATTTACATATTAAGAATTAAGAAATGTATAAGATTCAATGTTTGGATTCATTCAACGAAAAATATATTTCTATCCTAATTTGTAGTCAACCAGCTTTTCAGGAGGCCTTCACCCTGAAATCAATGGCAGCAGATATAAAAGAGGCCAAATCCTTAAAGAATAAATTACTTTATTAAGAAACTGATATTTTGTTCCATTTTTGTATGATCCAATTATATAGTCTTGCTATGCTCCTGTAGATAGTTACTGCACAGAGAGGGAAAAAGAGAAAAGAATGTATACCTGAACAATGAACCAGACAAGATCTTGTATCTTCAGTGGTATGACTGACTAGGTAGTCTTTATCAAGTGCCAAGTATTCTTTAATAATAAATCAGATGCCCAGTAAACAATAATTGACTTTTATTTTAGTTTAAAGATAGGGATGAGGGGAGTTATTTCAATTTTACTTAATCTGGGAGGGGTCACATCAATGGCAAAGGATTAGCAGCAAGAGGAATAGCATCTTCTGTAACAAAATGGGAGGCAGCCACAGCAGCCAGAAGTGTATCCACAGCCATAGCGAGAACCACAGCCATATCCACAGCCAGAGCCATATCCATATCTAGAGCCATAGCCACAGCCATATCCATAGCCAGAGCCACAGCCATAGCCACAGCCACAGCCATATCCATATCTAGAGCCATAGCCACAGCCATATCCACAGCCAGAGCCATATCCATAGCCAGAGCTGTATCCATAGCCAGAGCCGCAGCCACAGCCTCCACAGGAGTTCCCGTAATAGTTGCTGCACATGGTGTCAGGAGGTGAGGTTTCAGTGGAAGGTTTGGAGGATATTTCTGAAGTTGAATGTCACCCAGTCCTCCAGGTCCTTTATATACTTACAGGGTTGGGTGTGTCATAGCTCACATGGACTCTGTTCTCTCATTTTACAAACATGTGCCTAAAATGAACCCATTCTGTGTACAATCATTTTGCTAGGAATTCATAATTTACTTATTGCTTCCTTAGGAATTTTGACAAGGTTTAAAAGAAAATAAGATACATTAACTAAATACCCAAGCTTAAGTGACCATATGTTACTTTTATAATTGCATTTTATGAACATGACATGGTGCATCACCAAAATATGTTTGGCCTCTAACTATGTGTTTATCATTCTGCTCTTTCAAAATCTTGGAAATGGTTATTATGTAAGATGTAGATACTATTAATATTTTTCTCCTAATACTCTTCTTTTTTTCTTATTCTTACTTTTTTCATTCTTCTTCTTGGTTTCTTTATCTCCTTTCCTAAAACTTTGGTATTTCCATCTCAATCATTCTAAAACACTATTCATAGTCTTTAGGCAAAGAACTGAGTAATTTAACCTGCTCCATTCACCTCCTAAAACATCATCCTTCTCTATGAAGAAGGCCTGTCCATCACATCCTTTTTCAGGCAGGTTGTGACCATGCCTGCCTTCTTTGGGAAAAGTGATTTTGTTCACTCCTGATGGATCACTTCTAGAAGACTTATTATTAAAACAAAACAACAACAAAAAAATGGATTTTCCAAGATTTTTGTGTAGATACCACAGGCCAAAAGCTTTTTTGTTAAAGTTCAATAGTGACAGCAAGGGCATTTCTAGTTTAACTCAGAGTACTCAATAGGTTACTCTCATATTTGTGCTGTATATCCATGTTTCCCACTAACATGTAATCAATCAGTAATTAAGGTGTTCGTTCTCCACAATATTTTCTTTATTTGAATGTAACCTATTTTCTCTTAAAAGCATATTAAAATAACATCTACTTATTATATTTTTATTGGATTACTTGCAATTATAACATTTAATAAAAGTTAGCTTTACTATTTACAATAAAAACTTTTCTATAAGTTTTTATTTTGGTGTGAATATATTACCTTCAATCTGAACTTCTCAATGTACACACAAAGAACTTAAACTAAAAATCTCTGAACCAGTCTGTATCCAATCAAGAACTGCTGTAAGTTATCATTAAACTCTGTGAGGTATTCTAGAACTGTGGGACAATCCTGAAGAAAGAATAATCTTGAGTATTGTACTCACTTGATGATTATGTTGGAAAACTGTTGTGCTATAGTAAACAATAGTGTTATGGTTTAGATCTGGATTATACCTTAAAGGCTCATGTGTTAAGGCTTGGTCCCCAATGAAGCAATATTCAGGGGTTGAGGAGGCTTTGGGGAAGTGATTGGATCATAAGGATTCTGACCTTCTCAGTGCATTAATCCATTGATAGCTGAATTGACTACAGGGAGGTATGGAGGCTGTAGAAGATACAACTTGATCAAAAGGAATGGTTCCTTGGGGTGTGCCCTTGGGGACTGCATCTTGTCCCCAGACCCTTTTTCTCTCACCCTCTCATTATCTCCCTCTTTCCTGGACACCATGAAGTGAGGAGTTGCTCATTATGCCCTTTTACCATGATGTTCCTGGCCTGGAGCCAGATAACCATGAACTGAGATTTCTGGAACCTCTGAAACTGATCCAACGTTAATCTTTCCTCCTCTAAGTTGCCTTTCTCAGTTATTTGTCAGAGCTATGAAAAGCTGACTAACACAGACACAGTATCGTGCACTTAAAAATTTGTGAAGAATGTAGCTATCAGGTTAATTATTTCTACCTCTGGGGGAAAAGCAAATAGAATATTAGGAAACTTTGAAAAGTGATAGATATTTTTATAACCATGATTGTAGAGATGGATGGAAGTTTCATAGGTATATGTTTGAACACAGAAAACTGTATATGTTAAACATGGGTACTGTTCTGTATATCAGTGATATCTCATTAAAAAGTTTTTTGAAAGAAAGGAAGGAAGGAAGGAAGGAAGGAAGAAAGGAAGGAAGGAACCATGTTCTGCGGTCACAGAGAAAGCAGGAGCAATGTTTGGAAGACAGGTGGTAATTAAGAGGTCATCTCCCTCCTCCACCTCCTGCCTCTTCTGTCTCCTTCCAGCACTGCCTATGAAAATCTCAGAAAATCTTTTAAATTTCACCATTTAAAGTCCTATACCCTGTGCCTTCTTCAATGTTCAGGCACATTCTCTAAGGAGAAAGCTGAATCGTGTGCTCACATTTAAGGAGGAATACTGAAAGAAATCCCATCTGTTATCACAAGGCACATGTTGAAGGGTGAGTTTGGACCAGAAAGGCAGTAATTTGGTAACTGATACAGTCTATCTTCTAAGTTCCAGAGGCTCAGTAGTACAAAAAGCTTTCCCCTGAAAACAGTTTTCATGATATGATTGTGATTTGTACTAATTGTATGACCATGGACAATGTTCTCAACCTTTTGACCCTCAGGTTTTTGTTTCATTTTGTTTGGTTTGGTTTGTGGTGCTGGGGATTGAGCCCATGGTATTGTGCATATGAGGCAAGCACTCTACTAACTGAGCTATAGCAGTTAATACAGCTAGAATTTAGAATTTTTGTCAAGAGGCTCAGAGAGATTACATTCTAAATATAAAGGATGAAACACATATTCTTGTTTATCACTGACAAAACATATTCTATTTCTTTTCCCCCTTTCATTTATTCAGATATGAATATCCCTTAAAATAAATGACTTTTCAATTTTTTCTGTGTACTTGTACTGATATAGTCATTTATTAAAATTCTAAGATTTATTTAAGTGTTGCTATCATTTAGTTTATGATACCACACATATATGTACACACTAAATGCATTAAGTACATATATAAAGATATATGTTTATATATATATATTATATATATAATATATATCAATACTTTTCATAACAAACTTTCAAAGGTGACCAGATTCCCCCAAACAATGAACTACAATGTGATTGAGCTCATTAAATATTGCTAAACCATTTTATATTATCCAGTGTTTTATAAATATAAATAATCAAGCAATTTGTCTAGGGGTTGGCTCTAGCATATTTTAAAACTTAGCAACCTCATGTAAATCCCTATTACGAACTGAAATTACTATTGAAATTACCTGTAGGGCTGGGGATGTGGCTCAAGTGGTAGCACGCTCATCTGGCATGCGTGCGGCCCGGGTTCAATCCTCAGCACCACATACCAACAAAGATGTTGTGTCTGCCAATAACTAAAAAAATAAATAAATAAATATGTTAAAAAAAAAAAAGAAATTACCTGTAGCTAATTTGAGAACATACCTCCTATTAAAAAGAGAGAAAATACTTTTTTTGTTTCCAGACAGTCACAGAAATGCTATGTAAAAGCTAAGTCAGGCCTTCTTTTCAAGTATGTATACTATGGAGGAGTTCAGTAGAGATAAGTAATAAGTTATTGCAAAGCAGCCCTCTAGAATCACGAGATCATACACTAAAAGTACTTCAAGAATCACACTGATGGCAAATATAGGTTTCCCCTGTTTACTCCCTTTCTGTTTGTAAGATTTTATACTTTAATTCACCATTTAAAATCCTATATATTTATGATGTGCCACATGATCTTATGCTCTATGCATACATTGTAGAAACTCTAGATTAATCTAGTGAACACATGCATCATTTCAAATATTTATCATGTTTTAGTGGTGAGGACACTTACAATCCGCTTTCTTAGCAAATATCCAGTATATAATTCAAGTTGTTAGCTCTATTCACCACACTAATCAATAGATCGGCACAACTTATTCATCTTATGGCTGTTGGTTTATAATATTTGATCAAAACCTCCTCTTTCTCCTACCAACAGCTCTAATTACCGTCATTCTATTCTCTGTCTCTATGAGTTTGACTTTGTTAGGTTTCACATCTAAGTGAGATCTTGTAATGTTTGTCTTTTTTTTTACCTGGTTTATTTCACTGAAAATTTTTTTCAAGTTCATCCATATTACCATAAATAACAGAATATCTTTATTGTTTACAAAACTTGATAAATATTCCACTCTGCACATTTCATTTAGTCGCTCATCTACTGATGGGCATTGAGTTTTACTCCATACCTTAGCTCTTCTGAACATGCTGCAATGAAGAAGGAAGTGCAGATAAACATGCTCTTAGGATCTGTACCCAGAAGCACGCCTCCTGGATGATATTTTAGTTCTATTTTTATTTTCTCATAGAATACCTGCTCTGTTCTCCATCATGGATCTTCTAATTTACATCACCATGAACTGTGTGGAGGGTTCCCATTTTAAAATATCTTTAAAATATCTTATATGTATTTTTTTCTTTTTCATACTAGTCATTCTAGCAGGTGTAAAGTGATATATCAGTGTTGTTTTAATTTGCCTTTCCCTGAAAACAAGTTATATGTCTATTGACCACTTGTAAAAAAAAAATTATTATGATCCATTGTCCGTTTTTAATTAGGTTATATTTTTAATATTCACTGATTAAACTTCATGTGTATCTTGGATACCAACCCCAAATCAGATGTATAGTTTGCAAATAACCCTCCCTGTCATTTGCTATTATCTTCATTTTTGATTTTTTCCTTTGCCATGCAGGAGTTTTTTTTTTGGTTTGTTTTGATTAGAAAATATAATCCATTTACATTTAAGGCTTAGGTATGGACTTCCTGGTGGCATTTCTTACATTGTTTTCTGCATAATTTTTGTTCCTTTTCTGTCTTTCTTTGTGATGAGATGATTTTCTATGATGGTATGTGAATCCCAGAGTACTTCCTTATATTTCTTTGAGAACTGAAATAGACCCTATTTATTATTGCATTATCCTTGACCACACCCATGAATTCTTCTACCAAGAATTTACTAATCTGGCCTCTCTCTTTCCCTTGCTCGGGGCTTCATTTTTCTACATGCATTCACAG